ACCTATGGAATTTGCCACATTCTCCTTTGTTAGTGGTACTTTTATGGGAGGCATTGCATTTCAGTGTCTGTATATGATGTATCTGTTGGGCTGCCCAGCAGCAATAAAAATACCCACTGTAGTGTGGCCACAAATACTGCAAAAGGGTATGGAACCCATTGACAAACAAGCAATAAATTATTCCTATGGAAAGCATGAACAATAGAATGAGACAAATATTCTGGTGGATTGGTTTGCCCTGGAAAATTCAGATTCAGTGAAATGAAATCATCTTGCGGGAACACATTAATTTCGCTGAAGTCCCTGACAGACTCCAGTCTACCAGACAGGCAAACTGGGCCTCCCTGCTGGTTTACGGGGCTCCCCACTCTCAGGAGCAGCTAAATCCATGGTCTGGTGTGATTTCTATCTAAGGTATTTAGCCAGCTGGCTTTGTGGCTCGGATTTTTTTACATATTCCATTTCATTCTCCCAAAAGAAAATATTTTGAAAATTTACGTTCCATGGAAAAGCTCAAATTTATGAATTTTGTTCCAATTTGGGGTAAGCACCTTTTTATTGGAAGGGAATATTATTACTGAAAGGGTATATCTGTTTTCTCAGAGACCCAAAAAGCAAATGGTCTTGGCTGCAAGTGACATCAGCAGGCTGATTTTACAAATCCCTTATACAGGTTTATAAGAAAAGTGCATACTTGTCACCATTGTATAATCTTATGTTGAATTTGCAGTAAAGCTTGAAATGAAATCTACTCAGAGGAAATGTGGATTTAAACCTGGGATTTAGTTTTTACCTTTGCAAAGAAAAGAATAAGGAGTGTTCTTCTCTTTAAATGTTCATGTCATTAACTGTTCTGAGACCACTAATGCTGTATTTCGTTTTCAATATTGACTTTAATTCCCCAGCTCTGTTTTATTAATTCCATGTGAATGGTGACATTCAGGAAGTAGCAAATCTTCTGCTGAAAATCACTCATTGAAAGTCATTAAAAGTAGTAGTACCAGATTACTACTTTAATTGGTAAATTTGACAGTGGAATCCTTAAATCCACAATGTCCTTGCAGTCTATTCTATCTCAGTTGCAATGTAGAAAGCCCTACTGCAGTCTTTCATACTTTGCAAGATATGGCAAGCTTCCTAATACCTGAATTCACATTTTATCTTTTCTGAAAAAAAAAAACATTAAAACAAAAAAAAATTTACACATTTTCCTCAAATCATAGAGAAAACAAAGTTAATGAAGAAACTGAAAATTAAACTTAGGAAAACACTATTTGCAATCTTAATATAATTAAACTTTGACGTTTTTATGGAGTTTTTTCACATTAGAAGAAATATATTATCTGATGTAGACATAGAGATCTGTTTCTTTGGGAGAAACAAAAAAAATCCCAAGAATATTGTATGAACCAAATTATAGTTTGATTAAAACAAACAAAAACTTATATAAATTAAATTACTTGAATATAGATGGAAAGAGGGAATTTTTGTTATAAGAGAATATGATAGAAAAATAATTTGTGAATAAAAAAATAATGTTGATTGGAAAGCAAAAACAAGTTGAAAAAATAATAGCATTATTATTTGCCAAATTCTATTTCCCACTACCTAGTTTATCATCAAATTGTCAAGATGCCATTCCTTCCTGCTTTTGTTTTCCATAGCCACAGGAGAGTTCAATCCCTGAACAATTCCAGCTCTTCCTCTGGCTAGAAGAGTTCTGAAGCTGCTTGATTCCTGTGGCTGTTTAACACTGATACTGCTCAATTCCTACACAGGATCCAGACAGATGCAACCCATCCTATTCTTGCTGCTGGGATCTGAACTCAAATAGCTCTGACAAATGAAGCTGGTTGCCCATCCCCATTTTTAGGCATCTGTTACAAAGATAGAAGGTCTTGCACCACTTTAGTTCTTGTGCAGACACTCTAGAAAGGAAAACTTTGGACTCTATTTAGGCTAAATAACACTGGACTTGCAGATCATGAATGCAAACATTATAAGAGAAAACAACAGCTGTGTCTTTTCCATGAAGTACAGAGGGAATTTATAAGGTATGTAATTAATGAAATCAATCCTCTGGTAGCAATAGAACAAGCGTTTAAAATAGGATTTCATGTATGAATGCTATTGACTCCCTGTCTCCACCTCTGTAAGAACATTTCTGGTAAGAACAGAAGTTATTTTAATATAAAGAGAAAAAAAAAACCTGTTTAGAAGTGGAGAAACATCTGGTCTGATTCCTCTGTCACTGGTACATGCAATCCTACAATGCAATGCTGCTGACTGAATGATTTTCCTTCTGTGCTAGAACAAAAAACTGAGGAAAATATGACCCAATTAACCCATCATTTCTCTTTGTTGGCTCTCCCCTTTGGACCATTTATAAATAAATTCTTACATACTTGATGTACTCTTTATAACCTTTATGGATTGAAGAAGCGTGAAGCCTAGGAAAAGAAGGGAAAGGCAAAGTTGGTTTTAGTAGCCTTGAATGAGTTTTTTCTCTGGTCATTGAAACAATTTCTACATCATTGGTGTAACAGTTTTCAAGTGTTTCTTTTCAAACAGGTGTTAAGTTTAATATGCTGGAAAAATGACGTCATGTCAATTTAAGCAGGACTAGTGGGTTTAAGATTTTGGGAATATGTCTGTTGTTTGGGACACTTTAGAGCTTACCTTGTTATTGCTTGTTAAAACTGGAGCTGATGTAAATTCCGGAAATAATTACAAATCTGACAAAACAAATTAGATCTCTGAAATTATTCCAAAATGAAAGATAAAGGGAAAGATCCTATTTATAAAGACAGTAGAAAGAATCTTCTTATCATAAACAGCAACTGTGTGTGGATAGCCTTTCCAATTGCATTCAGTGTTGTCAGTAAATTTGTTGCTCTCTGTACCTATTCTCTTACACACTGGTATCTGAATATCTGTAGGAGGCATGGGGAGGACCCTGAAGTTCCCCACTGTTTCCTCCAAACCTGTCAAACCTACTCATCTGAGGAACTTAGCAGAGGGCTTAAACCTTTCATATCTCATTACCTGATTTGTGATTTTTCTGCCACTAATCCAGCATAAATTTTCCTAAATTTCAGAAAATTGGATTGCTTAATTATTTTGGTTAGTAATTAGTTGTGACAAAGGTGAAAATTCTCCTATTAATGCTGGTTCATAGCCAGGACTACCAGAATATCCCAGATTTTGTTGTGAATGCAAACAAATGTTGCATACTGGTTTTACCTAGTCTAAGATTTTTGTTATCTTTGGAAAATTCTCCCTCTCCAGACCGCTATCTCTAAAGTCAGATATTTGGGTAGAATATTTTATTTACATGTGATGTGCTGGTGACATAAAGTGTTAGTTAACGATATGTCTCATGTTGATAAACACTGTAGCTGCCTGGCAAGGTCAGAGGCAAGTAGAGGGGCATTGTCACAGAACAGCTGAGGTGGCAGGAACGTCCAGATGCCCTGTCCCACCCCTCTGGTTAAGCAGGGCCATCTAGAGCTGGTTGCTCAGGTTCACATCTGAATAACTTGAATATCTTGAAGCACCATACCCTCCCCAAGCCACTTGTGCCACTACTTGGTCACCTTCACAGGGAAAGAGTATTCCTTGATCTTCAAAATGAACCTTCTACATTTCAGTTTGTATCCACTGTGCTCCTCAAAGTGGTTCAGTGTGGAGCTTTACCACTTCTCTAAATTATTTCTAAGGTTTCTTTTATGCAGATTGTTCTTTATTCCTAAACCCAGAGTTAGGTGAGTAAAAGATGTCAGGAAGGGGAATTCTGGGAAAAAAAAATCAGAGGTACCTTTAATTTTTCTTCTTTAATGCTTCCATAGATTTTTCCCAGCCTGACAGTGATGACTCCCACAAATATGTGTATTTGTGGAGGGTTGCACCACAAGTGCAGTATCTCATATGAAAAACTGTTTCCAGGTAGTTTGCCTCATACCTCAACAATCAAACAAGTGTGCTATAGAGTTGATTTGCATAACATGAATATTTAGAATGTACTGGATGCACTGCTCTCTTGTTCACTATCTTTGCATCTCACATGTTCAGAATATTGCAGAAAATTATACAGAAGTCTTAGGGAGGAGCACCTGCCATAGGTGGCAGGTATGCATCCAGAAATGGGACAGCAGCTATGAATCACAAGCTGCTGTGAGGCCACTCTCTGCATCAGCAAGTGAGGCTGCTGACAGTATGGTAAAATATACCTCATCCTTAAGAGACCTGAAAGTCTACAAGCAACAAGGAGACCCAGAAACACCAAGGATAAAATATATTTGACAGCTACTATCTGTCTTTTTTTACAAAATGGAGCAGCAAACTTCATTGTTACAGCTGATGTTTCATGGGCCACCTCTGAGTTTTGGTGCTGCCTACTTTGGATAATCATCCTTGATTTCTAATGATAACCAAAATATTCCTTGTAGTAGAGAACAGAGCAGGGCAAGCTAATTTTGATGCTACATGTATCAGCATCAAAAGAGTGTTTCTGTTAATAAAATCAGAATGGTAGTTTCACAAGAAGTGTAGTGAATTTGTACAAATTACTTAGTATGCTTTTGTTAATCGATCCTCTCACTTTACAAATAAAACTAATAAAAGAGATCATGGAAAAAAGTAAAACCCCAAATCGTCAGTTAGTTCTATCAATAAGTAAAAAGATTACCCTTTTGCATGTAATGTATAACCTGACATAGTCAAACCAGAAGTAATTCCTCTTGTGTCCAGATATTCATATAAAACTGATAGGATTTGCTAAAATTATTTGACTTACATTCCTTTCTCACATGCATCACAATAATGCAGAAAAAAACCTCAGCCTGGAAAACTAGTTAATAAAAACTGTGTTTATGCAGATATATATGTATTTTGAGATTCTACCACATGTGCACAAGTTTCAGATAGGACTGTGACCTTTCAGGAAGCCTGGGTACCTTGTTTCATTTTCAAATCACTTCCATTAACATTCCTCCACACAGCAGATGCTCAAAGGCAGATTTTCAAGATGAGCAAGTAAAGCTTTGCTGTAACTCATTATACAGTTCTCTGACCCTGGAATGCACTGCAGCACAATGTGATGTGTCTTCATCCTGAAGGTAAAACAAAAAAAAGCTCCAAAAGAAAATGGTAAGCCAAGGGTAATAACGAATTATGATGATAGGAATCCCTCTGATTCATATCTTCAAACCCACATAAAGCCCCAAGAAAAGTCCTTCAAAGTTCATTTTCTCTCCATAGTTTTGTGGATTTATTTTTGTGAACAAAATTTACATTGAGAGGAATAGAAGGATCTAGTAGTCAACTAAAGGCACTGAGAAGGAATAGCTTACTCTCTGATATGCTGTAGATGTTAGCAAAAATCTGTTTGAATTTTGGGAAAGAAGTCTCTTGAAGCTACTGATTTATAGTAGGCCTTCCAAAACATAGGTGCTGAATATCAGGACAGGCTGCTGTCAATTGAAGTATGCCTTCTGTCAAAGGGAATGTGTAAATTAAACAATTGCTTCACCAGCTCATTCAGCAAGCATCACAACTGTGGCAGTCCTTGTCTGCCCTTGTAGTCAACCCCCAAGGAGTTTGAACAGAGATGGTGATTGAAGATATAGCTGGAATTAGATTGCTCCATGGGTGGAAAATATTTTGGAGGTTCTGCAGCACAAAACCAGGGTCATTTCTGCTGGTGTTGTAAGAATTTGCCTTCCCACCTTGTTATGTGCTGCCTCGGAGTGAGACATTGGACATGGGCAGTCAGCTTCTATCAAAATAAATCTCGAACCAGCCTTTTTTCCACCTCTGAAATGTCAATGTGACTATTCAGCTATCAACTATCAACTATTGGTTTATATTCTTTGTTCCCCCTGCTTGTAGAATCTGTCTGATTTTCTTGTTATCATGATTTTTAAGTTTTGCACTACCCAAGATAAAGAAATCATTCCTGGAAAATGTTTCCCTTAAAAGAATTCTCAAATTTGACACACCATGATAGATAGGTGAAAAACACATATTACCTTTGTCTTCCATGTCTTAAATGTAAAGAAAAATATGGCCTTTTGAAGATATCACAAACTTTTAAATTGTTACAGTATTACATGCTATTCCATGACTAGGATAATTTACATCTTCATCTGAGATTCTTTTCCCTTTTTGACAAAATTTATTTTTCCATCAAGGGACTGGCTTTGCTCTGAAATCATGCTGATTTGACAAAGTTGACTTTGCTTCATTTACCCTTCTATGTATTCAGGAATAGATGAAGAGGCATTGGAGCATTGATTGTGTTTAGCAACTCTGTTTAAAACTCCTGTTTAGAAAAACATCTGGAAGAGCTAAAACTTTTGGTAAAAATCAATGTTTGGCTGTTGTTGGCGGACAACCTTGTTTACAGATAAAAGTCATGGGTGTAGCTTTCCATTCAAAATTCTTTCCTTTACTAGAGAAACTGGAGACAGACTATCCCACTACAAGGGTATAATGGTGTAGGGATGTGATCCAGTATTGCCCTGCACTTGGGACATGTATGTGGCACTTGTTCTGCTGAGCCTGAAGCTAATTCATTGCCACAGCTCCAAGAGTATTGATATATTTGACCATGGAACCTGCTGAGTTGCTTTCATAGATTGCACAGGTGTTTGCCCATCACAGTTATATAATATACCATGTTAAAGTGCACAGTGAAAAAAGAGCTGGAAAAAAAATCACTACTTCTCATGAGTCCTTGCATGAGCAAAAGTGCAATGAGTGTCTGGAGTAGTTCCTTTTCTTGCCTGTTTTAAGTAATGGATAGTAATTTTGTTCTTAATCCTAGTGTGATCTAGGATTTAAGAAGATCCTATTTTTTGTGCTATGTCTACTCAGAAGCAGAGTAAAATTTGGGGAAAAACTTCAAATATCTTAATATCTTAACAAGGAATTTGAATTTTTCCTCCAAAATTATTTCTTTCTCATAAGATATAATTAAAATTGCCTGTGATTAAAAAAAAAAAAACCAAACAAAAAAACAAAACAAAAAAACCCAAACAACAACAAAAAAACCAAACAAACAAACAAAAAAAAACCAACAAAATAAAACCACACAAAAAACCCCCCACCAAACAAACCAGAAAAACCCCAACAAAATTTGTAAAACTGAAACTTTTGCTAGGGAAAAGTATAAATGGAGCATTTTCAGACTGACCAGCTAGTTACTTTTCATTTCTCTCTCTGAAGTAAGGAATTTTTTGAGCCTAAATTTGTCAATTTTTTTGGTAGCTTTTAACTAAATTCTGCATCCTGGTGAAACAGCTGCACTGTACTGATTACCTGATGGCCATCTGTTTCATTAACACAAATATAGCTGAAAAAAACCCAACTTTAGATGAGTTTAAGAAAAAAGCTTTTAATAATCTGCATGTGTTTCTTCAGTGAGTACATCAACTTGTTGAGAAAAACTGAAACTGAATAGTATGAATTAATTTCTCAACTCTTACAAGGCTAACATTCAGCTTTGTGAATACATCATAGTCACTTCTCAGTCTAGGAGAACTTAATGTAGTTATTTTCCCAGCTGATGCTGCTAAATCAGTGCGGGGGTTACAATAATAGTTTTGCTTTTAAGCTAATTTTTCGCTGCTAGTGGGCAATTTAGTTCAAGTGAAGGTTCATTTAATAAAGCCATGTAATAGATAATTTATTAAAACTTCAATGCTAATACAAATAGTGGTTCAGACACCTTCCCAGCCTAGATTTTAATGCTGCTTTAATTGATTTTTATTTAGACTGTGGTCCTCACAAGACTCTACCTTCACACTGTGGCAGCTCATATTACATTTTGTTGTTTCTGTCTTCCTTTTAGGTGTGAAGAACCCCTTAATCAATCAGACTTCAGTACACAGAAACATGAGAAACTGCAACCTATTCGGTTTGGTTAGACAATTTGTCACATATCTAAATACCTTTCACAGTCTTTATGGCAGAAGTGGCAGCATCACATCTCAAGCATCAGCTGAACATGGAATTCAAGTGCATTCTTGAAGGACCAGTGCATGTTCAGAAAAAATAAAGAATGACTATGAACATTCAGATGTTTGCTTTTTAATTTGCAGTGGTTGTTTATATGCACATCAGGGAGCTAGAAATTGTAAGGTATGGGCGTTCAGAATGAAACTTTTTTTTTTCAAAGTAGGCTGTGAACTTGAGGTCTCAGTATTAATGTTTTATTCCATTAAAAGCATTAATAACTTAGAAATCTAGGTGCAATTATGCATTGAATTTGTAGGAAATAATAGCTTATGAAAAACTAATAACCTCTGCAATATTGTAATAATTTGAATCAATATTGCTTTATTTTCCAAGGAGTTGTATATTTTGTAAAGCAAAAAAATTTATGGTCTTAAGAGACTATCTGGGGGAGGAGGTAAGTAGAAATTATTTTTGCACTGAATGCAGACAAGATACAAAGAAAGAAAAAAAATTTGTGTCATATGGGAATTTCTTTAACTAACCATGTAATGCTTCTCTTAGAAACATTTGTAGTCTCAAAAAGCCTTGCTTGTGAAAAGATATATTCCAAAATAATACTATTTTTGTAACACCAAAAAAGACTAAATACTTCACTCAGCTCTATTAAGGAAAAAAATAAACTGAAAATTTGGCAATATTCCCATAGGCAATGTCTTATACTTTCTTTATTGGTTTTTTTTGGGGGGGTCCTTGGGGGGCCCTTGGGGGAGTCCAGCTGACAGTGTCCTCTCCTCACAGTGACCACCCTGCAGTTGCCACTGCCAGCACCTTGCCAGGCATAGTGCTAATAGAAACCCAGAATAACTGTCTGGCAAAAAAAGACTGCATGGATATTGGTTCTATTTTCTTTAGTTTGTTGCTCTTCTTCCTGTCTGCTACTATCTTCTAATTTTTAAGTGAAATATTGTGGCAGTTAAATTTTAGGAACATTTGGCTTTCCTTTTTGTTTGCTGGGGGAAGGCTGTGCTTTTTAAATTTTTTTTAATCTCCCTCTCCCCTTTTACTTTGTTTTGGCTACACTAACAAAGAGAGTTCCTGAACTCTAAACAGCATCTTCAAACACTTGTGTTCATGTAGGTCTATAGAAATTCCAAGTAAACACTCAAAATCAGAATTGAGCTCCTGTACTGAGGGGACTTCAGTGGTACTCACAGCTCAGATATGAGCAAGGTGATCTCCTGAAGTGGCTTTGTTCATGTATCAGTGAATCAGGCAGAGGTTTACTCATTCCATTTTTCAACCACAGTAAATTATGCATCTTGAAGTTCATCTTAGAACTGCAGTATGTAGTTCTGTTGTTCAGTATGATGTAAATAACTCTGTTCAGTATGATGTAAATAACTCTGTTCTCCCCCATGATTTCTTGTGAAACTCACACGGGCAGTGTATAAAACTGCCAGCAGCTTTCATATTTCACCCCAATAAATCTGTATTTTACAGCTGAGGAGTTGTGGATTTCTCTGGGTTTTGGTTTGGTTCCGGTTTTGTTTGTTAGTTTTGTAAGGGCTGTTTATTTTGCCTTATTTATTAATCAATATTTGACCAGATTACCTCCAAGAGAGCAATAGGAACACTGGTAAGCTATTCACTGCGGGAAGATGAGTGTACACACTGAGAAAATATTTGTTGTTAATATTAGATTATTGTCAGCCAAGACTAGCTAACATGTAAGATTTCATCTACAGTTTGTAGTGCTTGTTCAAAAAGATGAAGATTGATTGTTGCTATATTTAAACAGATCATTATTTTCCCCCTTTTTTTGTTGTCAAAGCCAGGAATACTTCTAGTCTGAGTTCAGCTAAAAACTTTTAACCTCTCAAATGATCCTTGGCAGTACTTTCTCTACTTCAATTGAATTGTATTTGATGCTGGCTTCCAATTTTTTTATTTTTTTTTTAATGTCCAGTTAGGATGCTGGTGTATCTGACATTTTCCGTTTTCCAGAATGTGTGCATAAGCATGGACATATGAATGTGTATGGAAATCTGGTGTCAGTGTGGACTCAGGCTGCAAGGATTCTCACAGCTGGGAGAAATATCCTCAGCTCACACTGACCTAAGTTTCTGCATGTGTCTCTGGGGGCCAGATGTAGTACAATGCAGGAATTGGTAAATTTTCAAGAGGTGGGACACTCTTGTATTTGGAAGCATAAAGCTTGCTAAAACTAGGGATGGAGGCAAAAAGACATTGTTACACATAGTTCACTCTTCCTGTATTCTTATCAAATGAGAATCTTATGGAGCTTCCAGTTTAGTAATTCAGTTTGCACCCAAGTAAGGCCCAAAAATTATCTGAGTTTGATGGACACTCACTTATTGTCCTTCCAGAATCCTGTTATCAAATCCTAAGCTGGCTGTGACTCAGCAATGAAGAATTTTTCTCCTTTTTTATATATGCAGTCCACATCCCTTCAAAAATTACTTTTTGGAGGAGATCATAAATTTTAACTTGTTTTGTAGGGAAATGGAGTTGATGAGAATGTACCATTAGTGTCTCTGTTATTGGTTCCTTTGCTTGTCCATCAGCCAATTTCATTCAAATCTGATAAGTGAGAAAAGTCTCAGAGACATTCAGATGCTTTTATTTTAAAGAGAAACATCAGCATGAATAGTGAAAGCATGCATTGCTCTTGCTTAGCTGAACAGCTGAAAGGCAGGAGTGGAAACTGGGATGTTCTGGTCAAAGATACAAGAGGGAAGTGACACAATGTGCTGGGATTTTTTTAAGGAATCTGGTAGAGAAACCAGAAATGGATGAGACAGCACAGATGTGAACAACTTATAGACACGAGAGTTTTATCTGTTTGTTTGTTCTTGGAAAAATTGTCTTTAATATTATTAATGGAAAGACATTTTTATTTAATTCCTTTTTTTTAAGTTAAGAGGATGATTTTTATGCATGTGATTTTTATGTATGTTGATTATCTACATGCAACGCATTCATAAATGAGTTTTTCAGTATAGATATGCATAAAAAAGAAGCTAAATCTATCCACAAATTCAGATAGTCTTTTCCAGAGGGGCTTGATTTTAATACGAATATCTTTTTTCTGTGCTAAATCAGTAAAATGATGGAATTATGTCAGTGAATCTAAAGAGCAGTGTTTGTGTGTTTTTAAGTGCATCCTATTAGGGCAAAATCTTTCAGGTCAATATATTTTCTGCAGTGTAAGTCTGTGGCAAGAGACAATATTTATGATCATAATTAGGAAAAAACCCCTCATATTGAAATATCCTGTAATGTCTCTGTAAATGCACCTAACATTAATTAGTCAATTAATGTCTAAAAAAAAGCAAAATAAATTGTTTAGGCATTTAATAATTAATCTTCTAATGATAAAAATTTAACTTTAATGTTGCTATTTGTAAGCTAGTTATACGTTGTTGTTCTAAATTTAAGAATTGAATCCTCTACCCTGGCAGGAGTGTGAAGGTAAATTTATTATCTTTGTTCTCCATATCAAGAGTGTCAGGAAATCATTCCTTCACTGCATTTTCTTACATCCTTAGAGGCTAAGGTTCATCTGCAATGGAGAGCCACCACAGAGCTCAAACCGTCCTGAGTACCATGCACTTCAAATTCTTCAGCATGATTGCGAAAGTCAACAGTATAGTGAAAGTATATGGTCACCAGATGGCCTGAGCTGTTTGCCATGTAAACTGGCGCTACAACACAAAGAATTTCCTCTTGTGTTTTGGTGTGCAAACACTGCATGGGCCCCATATGAGCACACGGTCCTATGGCCTGTCTGTTGTGCAAAGCAGCTGCTTTGTTTCCTCAGTCTAATACCTTGTATTTTCTTTCCCATTAAGTCCAAAGTTAGTCCCTTTTGACAGAGATGTCCCATGTTTTACATACTTGTTCACAGACATCCCAGATAAATAGATAAAAGTTTTTTTCTTTTTGAATGAGTTAGATGGTTTGTAAAAATGAACAGCTTGAGAAGAACATTGACTTTCTCTATAAACTTTCAGAGTTCTGTAACTTCTATTAGAATTTCAGTTTCAGGCAGGACTTCTGATGCTTTCTCCACAAAGTTCCTCCCAAGCTCCCCTACAGTGAACTTAGATTAAAATATGCGTATCTAATTTAGTCTTTTCCTACCATTATCTTATACTTTGTGAATGCTTCTTTTAGCTTTACAGTTTCTTTTGCACTCCTCCTATTCCTGCTATGCTTGAAAAAGATATATTACAAATTCTTCTGGTTTTTGCAACTCTTTTTATCAGATATTTCTTTGACATGCCATATTCTGGTTTTATATTTAGACTGCTTGAGTTTATGGTTCTTTCTATTTATTTCTCTCACTTTGATACAACTCTGATTTCTATAACTATAACTCTCTATTTCTGTGCCTACCTCCCCTTGCCTAGTCTTTTTTGTCCTTCTTCCTCCAGCCCTCCACCTCCATTTCAGTTTCCACACTTTCTGTGCTGATTTAGCTGAACTAGTAAAAGAAAATGCTCATAATAGAAGACATTAAAATGAACAAGAACTGTCAGATTCTGAAAAGAAAATATGTGTAAGAGAGGGGTAGCTTGGACAAGGATTTATTTCACATAATATGACTATCAAAAAGTAAACAGTCTGTCCTGCTTCATCGTCTAATCTTCCTCTATTGTCATGGAGGAGCGAGGATTATCTGCAGGAAGTGATCTTTCTCACCCAAAGAGACAGATCTTGGAAGTGCATACTTATCTTTGTAAAATAAGGACAGAGATTAGAAAAGTGGGTTGAAATTGAAGCTTAGTAAATGGCTTGCTAAAGTTTGGTGACATGTGAGGTCATGACCCAGGAGTGTCAGTCATTTGCCTTTTTGTTTTGTTGGATTAATTCAGTCTGAGGAATGAACTGAATATGATTTTCATTTGCATCTGTAAAGTTATAGAGTTAGAAAATACAATCTCTTCTCAGTCTCTTAATTTTCTGCAGACACTTCTCTTTATTTTAATACTTCAGTTTTACAAAATTATTTAATTTTTCTGTCTACAAGTCTAGTTTCACTGCACATCTCCTGGTGAAATATTCCTTGGCTGCTGCCATAATCGGGAACAAAGCAATTCAGACACCCTGCAAAGAAAAATGGGTACCATTTTTTTGTCAGCTGTCAAGACCTTATATCATGAATAAATCCTGAGGAGGAAAGGTT